TCTTCCAGCCACTCTTCTTCCGGCAAATCCTTCTGAGAGCACTCTGCCCCCGTGATTTTCAGCTTAACGTGTTTCAGTCTGGTGACGAACTTGCCGCATTTGCAGCACCACACTCCTGGACGTCCCTCATCCCGAGGTCGGATCGCATGACCATTTTCTTGAGAAACACCTGCCTGCCCCTCACCCGCATTTCTCACACATTGGGTCCTGCACTCCGAGCTCGTTCTCGAACCAGGTTGCTTTGGCGAGGAACAGCGGGCTGGTCAAAGACTCCCTACTGCCTCTTCAGACAAGGAAAAGAGCACGACGGCACGGCAAGCTGCAGCAAGAGCTACAAGTACGGTGAGCGCACAAACAAGCAGCACAGCTGCGGTGCAGGAAGCACAAGAAAGAGCCTAATCGGGCTCACGAGGCCGCCAGAGCGGTTCAGAAACAAACTCCTTGTCATAGGTAGGATGCCAAAAGCCGTGCCACGCATCAGAGGATGGCATGGAACCCTGATTAAAAAGCTCAGAAGCAACCTGAAGTTCGCTTGCAACCAAAGACTGTTGAAGCAAAAGCGGGCGTCTAGCAAGCCCAGCCGAGGGTGGCAAAGAAAAGCAGGCTAGGGACCTACAGGCAAGTAAGGCGGGCTTAAAGAGATTATTAGGGTCAGCATTTTTGGCAACTGCAGTGCGAAAAGCATTCGCAAAAGACTGGCTTCTTTCGCCAAGAGAAGCAACAGCATCAGCACAGGAAGTGTTATGTTGCAAGCGAGCACGCTCAGCATTTAGACGGCGCACCGCCTGTGCACGAGTTTCAGGAACCCCAGCACAAGAATGCTTCAAGAATTGAGTACGAGTATCCCAATCCCCCTCGCGCAAGCAAAGGTTACATCGGTAGCGAGGCTTCTTAACACCGGGAATGCGAACAATATCATGTTGCACTTCAAGGCGGGGCGAAACGCCAAGCATAAGCACAGCCCCTTCAGCAGCACCACGGCGCCAGCGAGAACCATCCTTCGCAAGGCGATTCTTCTCCGCACCCGGAAGACGAACCGCCGTGGCGAGCTCAAAGTCGAGGACGAGCTCCAACCACGTAACACCTCTGGTGCTCTCAGTAGGTAAATCGGGAAACCGAAGCTGACTGGCATACCAAGCGACAGCGTTGTAGCAGAGCTCACCAAAGCAGTATCGGAGACTGCGAGAGAAGGACTTAAGCCTCGTTCTCGAACGCGCGCTGAGCCAAAAAAACGTGGGTCTCTCTTTCTCTCTCTGTCTATCTCTATCTATCTATCTATCTGTCTATCTGTCTATCTCTCTAACTCTCTAACTCTCTATCTCTCTATCTATCTATCTATCTATCTATCTATCTATCTATCTATCTATCTATATGTCTATGTATCTAAGTATCCACCTGGCTATCTATCCATCCGTCCATCCATCCACTGACCTACCTACCTACCAACCTACCTACCTACCTACCTACCTACCTACCTACCTCATAGCATTGTTACAGAGATGTCCCACCTGGAAGAACATTCC